TGGCGATTTCTTTCTTCTTTGCGATGGCATTCCAAACGGCTTTACTAGCTTAATGTCAATTGGGTAACCTTATTGCAAGCGGTGGCAGGATTTTTTATTTTGTGGGTTCAACTTCAAGTCGTTTGGGTTCAAGCCTATTTTCCTTTGCCGATTGGTTCTATGGTTTTTCTTCTGTCTCACATCACCTCATCGGTCTTCAGAAGACCTTTACGTATGGGTTTGTTGGTGTAGGAAGGGTTCTTTCCATGTGTTTTATGATTGAAACATTGCAATGCAAAACTGATTTTGGTGTCAGGCTGTAATTGTGGGCAGTGTTGATCGTTCATGACGTGTGCCAGCCGATCCGCTTTGGAGTTGGCAAATGGCGGTGGGAGGCGGTCGTTTGGCGCGATGGGCAGGATCGCGCCGCCCATTTGGGGCGGCTTGCGGGGAGAACAACTCGTTCAGCTCGGGCAACCCATTGTCTGTCCTCTCCAGCTGATAGAAGCGCGATCAATGGCGTCACTACTATTAGACGCCGAATTGCTGATCTGGTTGTATTCTGCCTATATACATCATCCATTTGCGCTTTTGCGTGATCTTTTATTGCTTCCTGTCTCCCTTCTTCATGGATACTGTCCGAAAACGCCAAATGGATGATGTATGTAGGCAGAATACAAGCAGGTCCGCAATTGGGCGTCTAATAGTAGCGGCGTCACTGATCGCGCTTCTATTAGCAAAAGAGAACAGACAGAGGGTTGCCTGATGTGAACGAGTTGTTCACCCCATGAACCGCCTCAAATGAGTGGCGCGACCCCGCTCATAGCGCCAAACGACATACACCCAATGGCGGTGCTACCTATTTACACACGGGTAGCAGCCTGCACTTGCGTACTATTAGCAACTACCGTAACCTTACGCTTACTCTTATTCAGTTTTGAGGACTGCTTGTGATGCCAGTTTCATGTATTTGAGGACTTGTGTTAGTTGATCAACTCAAATATTCAATTCAATTCAAACTAAATGTTGTGAGAAAACTCCTGCTCACCTATATCTGCAAGCATGTAGCCCTGGTCGGAAACTATGAGAAAGCTAGCACTAAAATCGGAAATTAGGGTTATAATTTCGGTTCATCTGGTTTTGATTGATTTTGGTTTACTTCATTTTAATCACTTCTCAACTGCGCGTCTATAAAGTGAGTGTATGCACAATGAGTTCCGGTTGAAATCACGTCGCACCTTCGCCAACTCCTTGGCTTTCGACCGCTCCTTGGCTGTTGTCCAGTCTGGAAGTCTCAGCTGACCTAATACTGCTTGAATGATTTAGAAATTTCGTTGCATTTGGAAACAGGGAAAAAGAGAAGAGGAGAAACATTTTGAAGCCAGCCACTGTCAAAGTCGAAATTGCTGGCCGGACTTCGTAACATATGCGATCCCAATACTTACTACTACACATATAAGTTATTTCATGCTATAACTTATACACTATTACAAATTAGCTAGTTGGTTATACAAGAAAAATTGGCACAACATTCTTCGGTTTTCAACTCACGCACTTTAC